GCTATTAATGTTTTGAAGTCTCTTTAAAAACATTTGCAGCAAAAGAGAAATCACTTGTATGTTAGTTTTGACATTGTTCAAAAGTTCTGCTGCAAAACACTTCAAAAATGTATTTTGTTTTAATTTGTTTAGATCCATGGAATGACTGATGCAAGCAAAAACATGATCTTTTAATTTCTTTTGTGTGTTAGAAAAGTTTTTCCAATTTTTCTCCTTGTTCCACACAATGGTGGGCAGAGGATATTTTTTTGCCAGCTGGGACAAACCTATACAGTGGTGCCTCACTTAGCGATGTTAATTGGTTTTAAAAAAAAACATCGCTATGGGAAAACATCACTAAGTGAAACACCATTTCCCATAGGAATGCATTGAAAACTGGACAATTCGTTCCAATGGGAACTGATTACCGTCCTTAAGCGAAAATCGCCATAGGAAACATCGCTAAGTGAAACACGGTTCCCCCGTTGGAATGCATGGAATAGGGTTCAATGCATTTCAATGGTTTTGACAGGTCCGTTTTCGCTATTTTTAAAGTGTCTTAAAATGTTCAAAAACTGTTTAAAATGCTTGGAATCGTTAGTGCACCTTGTAAAACCTTTGCAAAGTCAATTTGGCTTTGTTCGGAGTCTTCGTTAATTTTTTGTGAATTTTTTTCCCCATTGGAATGCATTGACAGCTGTCAAACCTACAGTTGCATTTCAATGGGGGGGGGAATTCACCAAAAATTAACAAAGACTCAGAACAAAGCCAAATTAACTTTGCAAAGGTTTTACAAGGTGCACTAAGAAATCCAAGCATTTTAAACAGTTTTTGAACATTTTAAGACACTTTAAAAATAGTGAAAACGGACATTGCTAAGCGAAACAGGGGGACCCAAACTGTCATCGTTGTAAAACCTTTGCAAACTTAATTTGGCTTTGTTCTGAGTCTTTGCTAATTTTTGGTGAATTTTTTTCCCCACTGGAATGCATTGACAGCTGTCAAACCTACAGTTGCATTTCAATGGGGGGAAAGAAATTCACCAAAAATTAACGAAGACTCAGAACAAAGCCAAATTAAGTTTACAAAGGTTTTACAAGGGGCACTAACGAATCCAAGCATTTTAAACAGTTTTTGAACATTTTAAGACACTTTAAAAATAGTGAAAACGGACATTGCTAAGCGAAACAGGGGGACCCAAACTGTCATCGCTATGCGAGGCATGGTCCCGAACATCGCTATGTGAAATTTCCCCATTGGAAACATCGCTAAACAGAGCGCAAGATCGCTCCTAAAACCTCATCACTAAGCGAATACATCGTTAAACGAGGCAATCGCTAAGCGAGGCACCACTGTACTAAGGATTTTGCTAAGGTTCAGATTTCAAAATTCTATAATTCAGAATTTGAGCCAAAAATATATAATTTAATAGACCTATCAACGAATTTAGTTCTCTCTCTTTCAGTCCACATAATCTATTGTGTCTTTCCTTTCCTTTCCTGTTCATTGTGTCTACAGATAACAAATGTCACAATTTTTTAGACTCAGCAACCTCCCACTTAGTTCTCTCATTTAGGAATGGTACTTCAGCCAAATAAAGATTTGTAAGGTTGATAGATTCAGACCACCCAAGTTCAGGACAAAAGTTCACAAATTTTGTATGCCGAAATGACAGTGATGAACTAAAACTGGGCAAAGTGAGAATAGCTATCTGGGAGCCTTCAGACTACCCTTTTCTTGCATCTCAGTCAATTATAGGCACTATTATGGAGACAGTAGGAGATAGAAAGTGAGATTAGTTGTTGATTATAAAAAGTCAATATTGCCACCAACCAAGTGCATATCTTGGCTCTATAATTAGCTAAAGGTCCATCCAGTGTGACAATCAAAGAATGAGAAGGCTAAAATGTCACAGACATCTCTTCAATGGTATTCATTCTCACTCGGTACATCAAGTAGAGTACAGAGCCTATTTGAACTTTTGCTTCACCACTACAGCAGCAACAACCTGAGTGCTGAATGGGATGATGAAGCCTTCTTCTAACCATGTGCTTGAGTTACAGAAAACCAGATTTCGGTTGAATATCAGGAAAAACTTCCTAACTGTTAGAGCAGTGTGGCAATAGAATCAATTACCTTGGTGAGTGCCCCAACACTGGATGCATTAAAGAGAAATTTAGACAACGACCTGGCAGGTATCCTTTGATTTCTATTCCTGCACTGAGCAGGGGGTTGGACTCGATGACCTTATAGACCCCTTCCAACTTCATGATTCTATGATTCTACATGCCTGCCAACCTTCCAACTTCATGATTCTATTATTCTATGCGCCTACCAACTATGGGAGACTTTGCTATGTGCCTTGACTGTAACTGAACATATACTGCTTCTTCTCATGTCCCTCCCCCAACATTTTGTGGGGAAACTTTAACAATAATAAACTCCAAGATCCATGGGATATTCCACAGCCATATGAAAGATTTCATAGAATCGTAGAACAGTAGAGTTGGACAGCATCTCAAGGATCACCTGGTTTGATTCCCTTCAGAATTCTTTATGAGGCCAGCATGATAAAGCACTGAGCCAAAGGTAGAAGCACCTAAGTTCAAAAAAAAGCCATGAAGTTTATGGTTAAACTCTGTTCTAAGATGGGGAGTGCAAGTTGGTGATTCACTGGTAGATGTGCAAGTATCATATGATATTTAGTAATGCCTGCTGGATGGTGCAATCTCATAGAAGTTTATGGTTAAACTCTGTTCTAAGATAGGGAGTGCAAGCTTGGTGATTCACTGGTAGATGTGTAAGTATCATATGATATCTAGTAATGTCTGCTGGGGTGGTGCAATCTCATGTCTAAATGGCATACTGACCTCAAGCAACCCTATCTCCAGTATCCTGAAGTGGCAAATATGTGCAAAGCCAGAGTTTGGGGAGGAAGGAAAGGGGTTGGATTAAAGCATGGTTGGGAAGGGCAAGAGGCAGAGAAAGAGAGAGAGGCATGTTATACATGGCAATCCAGTGGGAGGAAAAAGCAGCCAATCACTGGACAGGCATCTGTGTGTCCTTCGCACTCCCCTTTGACCATACCAGGTTTGGAGGGGGGAAGGCATACAGACTGAAGCACGACATGCAGAGAAGGAGTGTGTGCAATTTCCCACAGCTGCCCCCCCCAATCTTGCTAGCCAAAAAAAGGACCCCCACCTTGTATTACACATGCACATATACAGACATAAAGAAACAAGGATTGCAAAGCAGATTAAAAAGCAAAGTGTGTGTGCATCCAAACAAGAGACCTCCCCAACATGATCTTTGTGTCCATGTGAACACTGTACTGTGGATCCACACACACATCTGTTTGCACTTTGCTTTCCAGCTGTGCTTGCCTTTTATGCCTCTTTTTTGTACTCACAAAAAAAAGAATGGAAAAAAGAGAATAAAAGAATGTGATTTTTTTTGCTTTCTTAACTTGCAGTAAAAGAGAATAAAAGAATGTGATTTTTTTTTTTTTTTTGCTTTCTTAACTTGCAGGGCATTTGTTAAGCTGCAGGTGCATGCACACACCACAGACACCCTCATTTGCTCTGTGTCTTCAGGCAAAATAACCATAGCAGAATCAATGGTGGTGTGTGTGTGTGGGGGGGAGATGGAAAATAAAAGCTAGACTACTACCAATGTACTGAATCCGATTAATTTTTTTAAAATATATTTTCTTTGCCTTGTATGTAGTTCCAGCAGTGAAACTGCCCACAGCTGTGGTTACCAGCAATTGAGAAACTGCCCAATGCCTCAGTTTTGATTGGAATTTCAAGCAAAGGATTAAAAAAATGAATCTAAGTGATTCAGTACATCAGTAATGGTCTAGAGATGCAAAAATATATATAATAATTTCATTTCCCCTGCCCATCCTAGGAGAAACAGAGGACATATTCAATTTCTGATATCCTGAAGCAGCTCTTTTATTAAACCAATTCACAGTACAGTACTAGAAATTCAAACTGGAAGGAACTTTGGCAGCATTGACAGGTGAAAGGCTTGATTTTGGTCTCTGTTCCGAAATTGTACACACTGGGAAAGAACTAAACTAGGGTGTACCAACCTACACACACACAAAAATAGAAGCTCCTGATAGGGGTTTGAAAAGGCATGGATTAGGGTGCCCTAAGAGCACACTGACCCACTTGTAATGTAGTCACTGGAACAAAGAGCAAACTGATTTGCTCCCATAGTGCACCAAATAGCAGGACAAATGCCTGTATGGACATGCTTAAAATCTTCCAGGACTCTATCTGAATATGATAGAAGGGCATTCTCCTCATGCTCACGGCCAGTCACTTTTCCATGAAATAATCTTGTTTTCAGCAAAGTTGCCCATGTCATGTCTCATTTCTAAACCCGTTTATCATTTATCAACAAATCAGAAATTACAGGTCCCAATACAGCATCTCAGGGAAACCAACAATTTAAATCCTTCCATTGTGAGTGCTGATAATTTTTGCCTATTTCCCGATTTCTCTTCTTTAACCACTCATCTATATGTACATTTTAAATCCAGCCAGTTAATTTTTCTAACACCCGTATTGAAAAGTACATATCTTCTGTCTAACAGTCAAACAACATATGGCTGCATTATGAGTTGCCATAAGAGCCTCCTATGGATTCCATTCAGTCTTTGAAATCAGTAGGAAAGGAAAACAGGGAAGTATGGTACCCTCTTTATCTTTGCCAAAGATACATCTTTTGCTTCCAAGACATTGTGCTTTGTTCCAATGCTGCAAGATTTTTCTTTTGCTTTATTAACTGAGCATTTCAGTCTTACTCCATTAATGGCTTGCTTTTCTTACAACATTTCCAAACTTGAATTTCCAATGAGTTTAATAACGCTTTTAAATTAAACATTTTCCCTTTGGTGCATTAAATGTGATTTTATTACCTACAGATAAATGGTTTATTGGAAAGGGCTTCAATTTTACAGGCTATTTTCTGACAGCAATCTGCACGAAACAAAAACAAGTTCACTTTACCTTTTAATGTTTTCCCCATGTTCTGTTTTGTAGGCATGCTTTTTCTTGTTTATGAGTTTCTCTTTGGATCCCTGTGTCTGGCCCAGGAAGAACAGATTAGGAAACGTCCAACAACATCTCTTTTGAGTTGAAATCTGTTCTAAATTCAGCGCATCTATGATTAACACACAATATTTGAAGATCAGAAACTAGGAGGCAACATTGTGTCTTATGTAACCGCAAATTCTTTTTGCTACAAAGATTGAAGTTACACTATCAAAAAAATTCAGTTATAGCATATTTTTAAAGTACTGTACAAGTTAAATTCAATCTGATATAATATCTAGCAACTGGGGGCAACATCACCTTCAAGATTATTCTGAAGAGGAGGAAGGTTATTAATTTTCTAGAGAGTTGATGAATTATTTCTGGAAAAGTACTTGCTGATCAAAAGCCTCCTCCATAACTTATCACGTATAAGACGTCATCAAATGCATCAATTTTCAGAAATAAGAAAAAAAAATTAATTCCTCCCCTGGAATGACCTAAGACTCCCATGGGATCTGTTTCACTGTGGGAAGCCATTGGGGGCTGCAGGGTGAGAGGGAAGTCTTTAATTTCCAAAATTCACTGCCACAGGTAAAATCATCTCGGGTGTGGCGATTTTAGGAAACTAAAGATGACACCCCACACCCCCACACACACCATTCTGTAGCCCTGAACAGCTTCCCCATTATGAAAGGAGCCTTGAGACCTTTGGTGGATGGGGTCAGAATTTTTGGGATTATGGAAACTAAAATGAAGAAAAGTAATAAGAGGTTTGGATAAACACCACAAATTAAAAGACTAGTGTTACTTTGTTATCCCTTTAGCTCTTGACATTTTCCAGTCCATTTTAAAGTAATGTTTTGTTTCTGTTCCTTTTTACACTGTGATTTTGTGGTATATTTCTTTAGGAGGCAAGATGGTACAGTACTGTAAATAAATCATTATCAAAATGAAGTGCTGGGAAGGGAGTGGCAGGTCAGCACTGAATAAGCAGTAGATGGGAGAGTCTTCAGAAGAGGTTATATGTCTGCATCTTGCTTTTACACACAGCCAAAAAAACACACATTCAGACAATCATGTACCACTGTAACACTGACTGGGAGGAGGAGGAAGAAGAGAAGTGAACTGGGCCCAACTCATTTACTGGTTGGGGAGAGGAGTAGCATTTATAGACAAAATGTGACAGGAATCTGGTCTTTCATCCCTATTGCCTCGGGCACAGATTGGCAACTTTGGATGGGATGCCATTTTCTGCCTAGGATCCTCCGGGGTCTGCATGGATTAGCCAAAATAGCTCAAATTGAAAAGGATGAAACCAAAAGTGTCTGGAAGTTCACTTCTAGTTAAAAAAAAACTCTTTTAAATAAGTGTTTGTTTTTGGTGTTAAATGATGCTGAGGAGCACTATAATGTATTTAAAAGCTTAATCTTAACTTCTGGAGACTTTCAGTTGCAGCATACCTTTTTAAGGAGGTGGGAATTTCTTGGGGGGATAGAAAGTCTGGGGCCGGGGGCCACAAAAAGTGTTGGCAGCTGCCATGTGGCCCGAGGACTGCATTTTGCCCACTGCTTCACTAGAGAGAGGGCAAAAGAGAATGACTAATAAAAAGACAACCAAAATTGGCCAAAAATGTGCTAACTGACAGATCTCGTGTGCAGTGGACCCTTGACTTACAGATGGCTCGACTTACAGACTTTTGGAGTTACAGACTTCTCTGGCTGCAAAATTTAGGTTCGACTTGTAGCCAGAGAATCGACTTACAGAAAAAAAACAAAACGGAACAAAAACGGAACAAATACGTCCGGTTACGGATTAATGGGTTTTCAATGCATTGTAGGTCAATGGAGACTCGACCTACAGACTTTTTGACCTGCAGCCACCATTCCAATACAGATTAATTCTGTAAGTAGAGGGTCCACTGTACTATCTTTGACAGCGTCAGATATCGGAGGATGATATAGCCATTATGGTTGAACCAACCCATGTTCTGGGCATATATGATATTAATTATATCTTTTTGCAGAGGGAGAGGGAGAGAATGAGAGTGTTTATAGGAATAAAAAATGAGCTGCAGATGCACTTCAAGATTCATGTTTATAAAAATTACTTCTAATTTATCTGTGTTGTACTATTAGGATAGCTGCATACAGTACTAAATCTCCAATAGGAGTGTAACAATGTTTCCTGTGCTATTAAGTAATGAACACTTTGACTAAATACCACTACATTAAATATCACAACTGAAACCCAGTGGCATTTTAGGATTATCCTACAGTCTCCATTCAAGTATTCTGAAATGGAAAAAGAACATTTTTCTAATGCTTAGAAGAGCTAGGACATTTTGAAGCCACAAGACTTTTCCAACACAAAGTTTTATTTGCAAGTCTCAGGAGACTATTTATTGTAATTTTCCATGGTATTTATGGCAGTATTCACATCCACTTTACATGTTTTCAGAACTGGCACCAATGTGTTTCTTATTTCCTCTAAATTGGAGCCGCCAGATCAGAGAACTCTTGTTACTTGTTCAGTTCTGTTTTTCCATGTCTTACAGGATTTGATTCCAAAGCCTATGTGGTTATATGTATATGTACATTCAATCCATTAAGTTTGCAAAGTACTAAAAGACTTCACAACCTTAAAAGAACATATTTTACTAATGCCTGAAAAGAGGTAGGAGGCAAGTGACCACAATATTTCTTCAATTTCCATGGTGCTTAGGAAAACATGCAAGCTGAATTCCCATGACTTTTTATTCGAGAAGTGGGAAACTTGTTTTGGATTTTGACTCCTAGAAGCTGCAGCCATCAGACCAATGCTAAGGGATTGTGATAGGTCTAGTTCAAAAAAGATGGAGAACCATAAGTTTTCCACCTTTAATTTACTGTATGGAAGCGGCCATTTCAAGTTAGTTCATTCAAAGTATAAAATAGCTAAAACAACTGGAGCTTTTCATTATTAGATCAAGTAGTTTAGGCATCCTTCAGTCTTGAGAGACTATGGCAACGTGCTCTGAATAAAGGACTTGGAACAGCGTCTAGTGTGGCTGAGAAAGCCAATTCGAGAGTGACAATACCTTCCACACTGAAGACAAATACAATCTGTCCCCTGTCCAGCTCCCTGATTTTGCTGCTTTCATGACTGCCTCTTTGCCTTGGCCTGCTGGACAAGGGTCTCTTCAAATTGGGAGAGGCCATGATGCACCGCCTGTTTCCAGGCTGAATGCTCAGATGTCAGGGTTTCCCATCTGTTGAGGTCCATCCCTAAGGCCTTCAGATCCCGCTTGCAGATATCCTTGTATCGCGGCTGTGGCCTCCCTCTGGGGCGATTTCCCTGCACTAATTCTCCATACAGGAAATCTTTTGGAATCCAACCATCATCCATTCTCACGACATGCCCAAGCCAATGTAGACGTCGCTGTTTCAGTAATTCCACCTCATTCTAGGACTACTGTATTTGGAACTTTGTCCTGCCAGGTGATACCAAAAGTGTGTCGGAAACAACGCATGAAGAAAGTGTTCAGCTTCCTCTCCTGCCATGTACAAAGATCAATAGATTTCCCAAATACAGGGCAATCAAATTTATTATTTGATAACCAAATAGTTTGTTTCTGTGAATGATTTCGCTGATGCCAGTATCTATAGATTCCTGATCGAAAACTTTATTCAGTACCTGGAATGCCTGTTAATTAACCATACCCTTCCTATGGGATATAATTTTTTTGCACGTTCCAGACCTGGATGTGCCTTAGAGAATTGGTCTCAGTGCTTTATTTCTTAAGAAAATGTGTCAGGTTTGAATTTAAACAGAATTTCAAAAACATCATGGCTCAAATGAAGCTCATAATCCTGAACAAAACAAAACATGCTGGTGCTAATTCTTGCTTTCTTGAAGACCAATTATAAATGTAAGACAAAGAATCTCTAATTTTTAAAATATTGATAAAATAATAATTACAGATCTACATACCCCTTCCATTTCACTGGAAAAATAATTACAAACGGTTGAAATCACTCAGAGGTGGATATACATTCAACTAAATGAAACATGTAAACAAAAAAATGTATATACATACTACATACAGAAAATTTTGTTTTCAGGTGCTTGACATAAGCTTTCATGGACAACATCCCAGTTTAACAGATATATCTGAAAAAGTGGCCACAGTTCATGAAAGCCTATGCCAAATATAACTTTATAGTCTTTAAGATGATGCAAGACTCTTTGTTGTTCTTTCTGCAATAGATTCACATGGCTACCCCATGTCAATTGTAGAAATTAAGTTGCTCATACCTATGAGTGATGTCTGAAGCTTGGAAGCATCACTGTCTAAGAGCCATGCGGCACTGGAGGTCACAGACGGAGAATAAACCGGCAGCACAAAGGTTGTTTTGGAGTACGGAGCACCCACCTGTGTGGTATTTTTTAAAGGAAAGACAAAAGACCTGTTAAGAATCAAATCATTTTAACTCAAGTACCAACTCTTGTGAATTAGATACAGTACTCAGATCTTTCTTAATAGATTTATACCCCAGTGTTTGCACCTGAAGTGACAACCTCCACAAGTCTGATCATAGGACCTGGCCCTATCTGTGTCTCTGTCTCTCACACAGTTTATCTTTCTAAGCATATTTTCTCAATGTTTTAGAAAATGGCGAGTCAGGAGGCGTAGCAATTTAGAACATTGGCTGAGATTGCTTTAACATTGCTTCTGATTTGCTCTTGCAAACCTCACAAGACCTGGGCAACTGATACATAAATACAAGGAAATAATTTCTATACCTGTTCTCAGGCATGATCTACAATTTACTCTCAATTTTCCCCCTCACAATAATGGTGTCTGAAGCCTGGGCTGGGCCCTCTGGACCTCCAGATTACTGTAACTGAACCTTTTTCCCTTCTTGGTGGTGAGGGAGTCCTATGTCCAGCCCTACCATTAGTTTATCCTCAGGCACCCAATGATTCTTTCTGAACCCCCAGCTTTCCTGGCTGGAATAGCAAAGCACCACAATTCAGGGAGAACAAGTATTGCTACTTCTTTTGGTAGTACTTGGTGGTCCAAAATGTATCAAAGTGACTAAGTCACTTGGACACCCTACAGTACCATGTCTGGTGATACCTAAAAATACAAATTGGGCTTCCAGAAACATAAGGCAATGGGGTATTATTAAACACAATGGGGTATTATTAAACAAAAGCAGCAGAGGCAGTTATTTTTTACATATAAAATATTTTTCACATATAAAATATAATTTCAGAATTAAACTTTTTTCATGACTTATGAGGTTGCATATGTTAGGCACGTTCTCAAATAAACATGTAATTACAGACTAAACCAGGAATGTTTGTGCATTTCTGGAGTGAGCAAAGAGACACAGATCAGCCATGGAGTGGAACAACACTCCTGCAGATTTCTTGTGTTGAATCCAGTATTTATGAGCCATGATTAGAAGCACAGAAAGAGAGAAAAAAAACCCAAATAAGATGGAAAATAATGAACTTTCCATGTCTTTCCTACTGCAGAGTCATTTGCTAATTAACTCATCAAACAGATCACAACACTACTAATTCTAGATCCAGGGGAACAGGATGGTAGGAGGAGAAAGGAAGGATGCAAAATGTAGAACAACCAGTTCCTTGTATTGCTCTTTCAAGAAGGAATAAAATATGCCAATTGCCCATTTAAAGTCCTTCACTTACTCCCATCTCTATGGTTGTCTCAGGAAGCTGACTGGGACTTTCTCCTGGTGGCTAGAAAAAAGGGGAAAAAATAAAAATAAAAAAGTATGCTGTTCCACAAACTCCTGTTGATGCTTTCCCAGCCTGTCTACCACTAGGCCTTGCAGTTTGCATCTCCCTACTCACAGGAATGGTGTCTTCACAGAGGACCAGAAACAAACAAATTCCATCATAGACCAAGGCCGCAATTGGATCAGAGTATCACCAAAAGGCCTCAGATCAGATTCACCCACTCTCTTTGACCATTAATTGGGCACTGAGCAGGTCATGGCCTCTGCATGTGTCTAGTATATATGGCATTTGGCATTGTAGTATCAGTACAAAGTCTAAATATGACCCAAGAGGTTCTACTGGATGCCAAAACATAATGCTTAGGCTCTGGGTCCACCTGCCAGAAGGTCATGAAATACAAGGACATACAAGGCTGAAATCCTGTTCCTAGTGCCTAATCACAACTTAGAGGGAATCCACTGAATCAATGGAATTTACAGAGGCGTTCGTTCATCAAATCCCCACTAACTCAATGGACCTGCTCTTGTTATGATTCATTATCCTAAGCAACAGGACTTCAGCCACTGCCTCACATTTCTCTAGGTGAGCTGAGGGCAAATTCACCTAGTAAACCAGCTATCTGTGTGTGATTTTTAGATAGACTGTTATACATGATTACTTTGACTTGATTTTTAGTACTACTTGTGTTTTCCATTTTTGTGTTTTCCATTTGTCAGAGTGACTTTTTTGTATACTTATTGATGGTTGCCTTAATATTGTTTGTTAATGTTGTAAGATGCCTCCTTATTTGTTGTTTGTAGTTTAAAATATTGTCTTTTAATGATGTTAAGCACTATTTGTATACTCATTGTTTTCAACTGTAAATATTGTTTTTCATTGTTTGTAAACCGCCTTGGGTCCTTTTTCAAGGAGAAAAGTGGGTTAGAAAGAAAGAAATCATACAAATAAATAAATAAATACATACATACATACATACATACATACATACATACATACATACATACATACATACATACATACATACATACATACATACATACATACATACATACATACATACATACTTCCAGAGATTGTCAGGCTCCATATACCTACCTCTGGAGTGCTGTACTCATGTCTGTGTCTCTCACATCCCAAAATATTTTTCTTAAAAACCTTTTGTTTTTACTGAAAATCCAGCCTGCAGTAACAAGTGTTTAAAAGTGTTTTGTTTTGCTTTTTAATTCTGGGAGAAAAAGTAGTTCATGGGGCCTAAAACATAGCAAAAATGATCTCTCCCATCTTCTCACAGAACACAAGCAGAATTTCTGAGCAATTCAACATATACTGTATACACTGACTAAAGTTTATCATATGTTTTGGTTTTATTTATTTGAGACTTGACTGAAACTGTGGATTTTTCCATCAGTTAAATACACTTTCCTCACCTTTACTTTAGGTAGTCACTATTCCTCAAAGTCAAAGAAATGCCCTCTAATGAGCTCAAAGGGGCATACATTGTTCTCTTTTTCTATACTGTATTTTAATTTCACAAAAACCCAATGAAGGTAGGTCGGGCTAACACATTAAGACTATTGACCTCTCAGTTCTTTGACATACATTTCCAGTAATGTACTTGAAAGACAACTTTTTGTTTCCAACAAAATAATTATCAATTTCATAATTATCCATCCTGTTACCTTAAAAATTGTATTGATCGTATGCTTTACTTACACTAATCGCAGACCACTTTCATGTCTTTGGAAAAATTATGTAACATGGTATGCCAACAAATGCCAGAATTAAATTGCTGCACTAACTTTAAGACATTTTGATTTGTTAGAATTTGATTGAAAGCAGGGATTTTTCTCCCTCAGCTTTGCACTACGGACTTTATTACCAATTACTGCGCTTATGATAGTTGCCACATTCATCTCAGGCTCTGACTGCTTGATCAAATACCATGGGATTTGCTCCATTTATAAAACGGATGAATTTGAAGTGTGTTTTTTTTACTGATCACATAACACAAAGCCGGTTCAAATTGGTCCAGCCCTTTTTGCTCCCAAAATAGCTTTTCCCCCCTCTGTCGCTGGGGTTTGTGTGTGTCTGTTTTCAAGCCAGAACAATTCAAACAGGCTTTTCCGCATGTGGATAGATGTGATACATTCTCATAAAGATGGGAGGCCATGTCTGTAGATGGTGTTTTGGCGATGTAGGCAGTTGGGGCATAAAGTCCAGGACCTGGGGAACATGATCCCGTATTCTTTCCTCTCCACTGATTTTTTTTTTAAAAAAAAACAATCTTAAATATATGATACTACCACTAGATCACCTTATCACCTTATCTCTGGGTCCTTATTATTATTTCCCACATTTATGCCCCATAAAGCAATTGGTAGACATGAAATCAGAGAAAGGAAGGAAAGAAGAGGGGATGTGGGCTGGATATCATATCACATCCAGTATAAACACTGAACATCCCAATCAAAATGCACCCTCTGTGTGAGCACTGACTGCAATTTCAAACTTAATCCTGAATGCAAATCAAGCTGTAAATCACTCCATTCTGGTTTTCCAGTTAGGTCACACTCTCAGAAACATTTTTGCCTTGCAGGGGATGGCCACAGTCTGGCGCTCTGACATTTAAACCATTTTGGCCCCACCCACCGACCCCGGTTAACCATTTCTCTTTCTGTATCAAAGTATATGACAGGTAAGAAAATATATTGTGCCCATGAAAAAAGGGGCTCTTGCCTACTAAAGCTTATGCCACAAACCTGTTCAGCTGTAATGTGCAACAAATCACAACCTGTAAAGAAAATAATTCCAAGTATTTTGAAGCCAATGTATAGAACCTATTTAATATCACTGACCCATCTGATTCATTATAACTGGATGAAATCACACAATTCCTGAGCAAAAATGATTAAAAGAAAAGAACCGCTTTATTCACAACACATTTTAGCTGTACTTCGAAGAAAGCTATGCTGAATTTGGGGAGGGGGGCAGGAAGTACAGTCTTGCACTTTTAATGCCTCCTCTCAAATTTGTGGTGCACTATAGCAATAAATAGATAGGACAAACACTCCTTCAGCATTTTGTTGTCTATGGTACTATTCTAAGTAACTCCGTTAGTCTTACTGACCAAGAAAAAAAACACATGGGATGGCACTTCTGTGTACGTGTTCCCTCACATCTGTTTGATGTGAGGGCAGAAAAAAGCTCAACAGGTAACTGCAATGGTATTTTTAACTCAAAACATCAGTTGAATGTTTGAGGAACTCGCCGAGCAAAGTCCAGGGGTACAATCTTAAGGAACTATTCCCAATGCCTTAATCAGGTCCCTGTTAGAAATCAATGAGACTCAGTGTGCTGTAGTGCTTAGGGTGTTGGACTACAACTCAGTCTCTACTCAGCCAAAGGAACTCACTAGGTTGTCTAACAGGGTTTTTGTGAGGATAAAAGTGGAGGAAGGAGAGTTGTGCAAGCTGATTTGAGCTCCCTGGAGGAATGGTGCGACAGAAATGCAACCAACAAATAAATAAATGACAAATTGGAATATTACTCATTTTTGTAGAAACCTACTCTATGAAAACTAATTTACAATACATTAAAGTAATACTGTTTTTAAAAAAACAGAGCTGAAGTAATGCATTAGGATTTCATTTTAGGTTTTTA